TTATTTATTAATTTTATTATTAATAAATTTAGAACACAGTGTGAAAAACTTAATGAAATGGAGTTTCCTAAATACCCCATCATCTAGGCAGCATTCAGGAACAAACCATCTCATGTGAGACTTCCACAAGTGTTCTTAAAGTTTTGAAATAAATTAAGGGTAAAATTTTAGGGTTTAAGTTTAGGGTTTGGGGTTTAATTAAAACGCGAACATCTCTAAAAATTCCCATCATCTAGGCAGACATTCAGAGAAGGTTCAAAATTTTTTTATAACTTTGGAAAACTAGTTAAAAGTTTCTTATATATATATTTTTTATGAAAATTTAAATAATAATTTTCCAACATCTAGGCGAAATTATTTGTTTGAAGATGTATTTTTTTTATTCCCTCCAACATCTAGGCAAGGAAAATAAAAGGCTTATTTCATTATTATTACTATTTAAACATTTTTAAAATATATTATTTTTTTATATTGTTTTCATTTTATTATTATTAATAACAATTAAATATTTATCCTAATAAATTTAAACATTTATGCATAAAAAATACTTAAAATAACAAAGATAATATTATATAAAAAAATAGAAAAAAAGAAAAAAAAAATTTTTTTAGCTGAACCGGACCGGTCAACGACGGTTCGACGGTTCGATTCGGTCTGGGAGCGGTCTGGTTGGTTCAGCGGTTCAGGCTGATCCAGAAAGCAGTTCGATTCGATCTGGTCAAACCGGTTCAGAGCCATTGATAATTTAGGTTAACGGGTCGGTTACGCGGACCCCGGGTTAGGTTCGGGTCAACGCGCGGATCCTCTTTTGTTTAAACGACGTCGTTTTGGGGCGTTTATTGAAACGACGTCGTTTTGGCTATTGACAGTTTATATAAAAGTTAAAAATTTTTCTTTCCCTCATTTTTTCACTTTTCAGAAAAAAAAACCTTCTTTTCTCTCTCATTTTTTTTCTCTGACCAAACGCAGATGGTCGACCAGCCGTTCCTTCATCGCTGTCGTCGTCGTTCGTCGATCACCAATCGTCGTTGACGGTGGTCAAAAAATTCTCAGAAAATACCAAAACGTTCCCTTCGACCTCCTGAGTTTAGATCTGAGGTCCCTTTCACCAAAAAGCATCCCCACTTCCCTAGATCTGCTAGTGAAGTTTCGATCAGATCTTTTTTTCTTTTGTATTCTGGCTTTATTTTGTTTTAACTGACTTTGATTTTTCTTTGTGCAAGGGCTCTCGGCGCTGGGTTCCTCCCTGCGGGAAGGATTGTTTGATTTTTTTTGTGATTTTCTTTCCTCTTTTTTTTGACAGAATCTCCCCCTCCTTCTTTTCTCCTGTTTTGGCTTCGCTATGAGCTTTATTTATAGAGCTCCAGCCATACGCGTTTGAAGGGAAAGGCATGGGGCTTGGTCACGGGATGTAAACATGAGCCCTGTGCCTCTTTATTCATTTTTGTCTTATCTGGCATTTGTCAACGGAAGGAGTAATTAGAGGGGTGGAGGGTAGGGTCTGGTGGCAGTGGTGTCGGGGACGGCACCACTGCCATCCTTAATTTTTTTTGTCTTCTGTTTTCTTTTTTTGGTATTTTTTGTTTTTTTTTTGTTTTGTATTTTGTATTATTTTTAGTATTTTTTTTGTATTTCGTATTTTGTAATATTATTGTTTTTATTTTTTTTTTAGACAAAAATTGATGTCTACAGCTGCCTCTCTTTGCACATTACTGATAATCAGTAATAGAACAAAGATAAAGACAACAATTTTATCCAGAATCCAAACAGATTTTTTTTTTTAGGTCAGGTGAAGTGATAAAGAAAATGACATTGTGTGTTGACAAACAAAGAATCGATTAAGGCAACACCGAAAGTCAAATAATAAAGAAAGTGATCAGGACGACACTGCGAGTTAAGGAATAACAAGATCGGGATTGAACTTGGATTGAATCACAAGTCTAAAATGAGGAGACTGGGATTAAACTACAAGTCAGAAGATAACAACAACAATCGAGATTAAACTACGATTTTAAATTAAAGAGATAGGGATTGAACCGCGAATCGAAGAATAAGAAGATCGGGATTAAACCACGAATCAAATATTAACGATGACTGGGACTGAACCATAAGTAGAGGGAATTAATGAAATGATCGGGATTAAACCACGAGCCAAAGATTAAAGATGACTGGGACTAAACCGCAAGTCAAGAAATTAATGGAATGATCGAGATTAAACCACGAGTCAACGATTAAAATCGCAAGTTAAAAAATTAATGAAATGATCGGGATTAGACCACGAGTTAAAAATTAAAGATGACTGAGATTGAACCGTAAGTCAAGAAATTAATGAAATGATCGAGATTAAACCGTGAGTTAAAGATTAAAGATGACTGGGATTGAACCGCAAGTCAGAGAATTAATGAAATGATCGGGATTAAACCATGAGTCAAAGATTAAAGATGATTGGGATTGAATCGCAAGTTAGAGAATGAAATGACCAGGATTAAACCACGAGTCAAAGATTAAAGATGATTGGGATTGAACCGTAAGTCAGAGAATTAATGAAATGATCGAGATTAAATCAAGAGTCAAAGATTAAAGATGACTGAAATTGAACCGTAAGTCAGAGAAATAATGAAATGACCGAGATTAAACCACGAGTCAAAGATTAAAGATGACTGGGACTAAATCGCAAGTCAAAAAACTATATAAGACTGAGCTGTGAGTTGAGAAATAGGAGATTGGGTACTTCATAAACCAACAGTTTTGATTTTAAAAATTATGCTAACATACCATCTTCAAGGCCATCATCTTTGTTTCGAGAAAGAAAAATGTTGATTCTTCCTGATATCTCGTAAAGAAACCTTTTATGCAACCTATCGAGAGGCATGTAATGCATGCAATGATTGTGATGAATGAAAAGACAAAGATGCTGTCAACGAATTATATCATGCATTTCATCCAAGTTAATTCAACTTTTGATTCAATTCTTCCAAACTTTAAAAGTCGCTTTCAGTAATCTCGTCTTTTTGACTCTTTCAATTTTTGATCAGAAATCTATGTCTCATGACGGACCCATCTAGCTTTTAGTCGCTCCAAAATCTTTTTTTATCCCTTTTTTCCTCTTTATTCTCAGTAATCAATCAATTTCTTTTCATTCTTTCTATCTTCGTGTTACTATTTTTGTCATCCTCATATTGTCTTCTCTTTTCGAGCGATGCATTGGTCTATTATGAACTTTATTAATCAGTATCTTAATTTTCAATGACAAATGCAATGATCTTAGGTTCAAAGTTGGGTGTGCAATGCGATCAATAATAGGATATTTTAGGTTTAGAAAGATAAGCTTTTCGAGACATAAAGAATAGTTGATTCAAAAGTATTTCAAAAATTAAATATCAATTCTCTAAATAATGAACATTTGGACGATTTCAGCCTACTCGGACCAGGTCTTTTCAAAAAACCCGTTACATTTGCGATCTTGTCACCTGTGATTTCATATGACCAATCTTTACCCCATATCTGTGACTAATGAGAACTTGCCCCCTAAAAATCATGTCTTTTAATTCTGGTGACAATTCGTCCATTCGGTGCCACTCCTTTGTTCTCTGAAAAAAACTTTCTCCGAGTTCCATCTTCATTCAAGCCACCTTCACAGGTTTTTAGCTTAAATGACCCCCTTTTGGCTCAAACTGCCCTTTTCGGGTTTTCAATCTGAATCACTTCCTTTCTCATTTTTTTTTTCATTTTTTCTATTTTTTCATTTTTTTTATTTTTTGTTGTTTTTTTTTTTATTTTTTTATTTATTTTTTGCTTTTTTTTTAAGTAAAATATTTCTTGACAATGTTTGAATTTACAGGACTTGACAATTTATTTTCGTCTATTTCTGTAAGGATTAGAGCTCCACCAGAAAAAGCCTTTTTTACCACATATGGACCTTTCCAGTTGGGCGTCCATTTTCCTCTATTGTCATGCTGATATGGTAAAATCTTTTTCAACACCAATTCGCCCTCACGAAAGCATCGAGGTCGTATCTTTTTGTCATGTGCTCGTATAATTTTTCTTTGATACATTTTTCTATAACTGAGTGCTGAGAGCCTTTTCTCTTCAATAAGATTTAGCTGCTCAAAACGATCTTGAACCTATTCTACCTCATCCAATTTTGTCTCCATCAACACCCTCAGAGAAGGAATTTCCACTTCAATTGGTAGTACAGCTTCCATCCCATATACTAGTGAAAATGGGGTGGCCCCTATGGAGGTTCGGATTGATGTTCTACAGGCAAGCAAAGCAAAAGGTAACTTTTCATGCCAATCCTTATATGTGTCAATCATTTTTTCCAATATTCTCTTGATGTTCTTATTCGTAGCTTCCACTGCATCATTCATTTTTGGGCGATATGGTGCTGAATGATGATGCTTGATCTTGAACTGTGCACATAATTCTTTCATCATTTTATTATTTAAATTGCTAGCATTATCTGAGATAATCCTTTTCAGGAGACCATATCGACATATTATCTCTCTTTTTATAAATTTACACACTACTGATCGTGTAATACTAGCATACGAAGCTGCTTCCACCTATTTTGTGAAATAATCGATTACCACAAAGATAAATCGATGCCCATTTAAAGCTTTAGGGGTTATAGGTCCGATCACATCCATTCCTCACATGGAGAAAAGCCATGGTGGTACCAAGACGTGCAACGGGACTGGAGGGGAATGAATTTTATCTGCATAAATTTGACATTTGTGGCACTTTCTAGCATAACTGATGCAATCATTTTCCATTGTAGACCAATAGTAACCAGCTCTCATGATTTGTTTGGCCATCATATGCTCATTAACATGTGTTCCACAAATCCCTTCGTGTACTTCTTCAAGTATCATTCTTGCTTCCACTACATCAACACATCTTAGCAAAATCTGATCTCGACTCTTTTTATACAAGATTTCTCCATCAAGCACAAAACCTACTGCTAATCTTCTAATGATCCTCTTATCATTTTTTGAAGCCTATTCTGGGTAGTTTTGACACTTGATATACTGTATAATGTCATAGTACCATGGTTGTCGATCTACTTCTTCTTCCACATTTGAACAGTGAACTGGTAAAACTTTCACTTGTACTCTAATAGGCTGGATTCCCACACCATTATTTAACTTAAACATCGTTGCCAAAGTGGCCAAGGCATCAGCAATCTGGTTTTCTTCTCGAGGAACATGTTGAAATTGAATCTGTTGAAAATGTTTCCTCAAGCCAGCTATATGCTTTTGGTATAAGACTAGTTTCGAGTCCCTGGTCTCCCATTCACCTTTTAGTTGATAAATTACCAAGGTAAAATCTCCATATACTTCTAGTGTTTCAATTTTCTTTTCAATGGTCATCTGTAACCTCATGACACATGCCTCATATTCAGCGATATTGTTTGTGTAATTGAAATCTAACCTTGCAGTACATGGGTAATAATTTCCTTCTGGGGATATTAGCACTACTCCAATGCCATGCCCCATTATATTGGATGCCCCATCGAAAAAACATTTTCCATACCTCTCTTATAGGCTCTTTATCTTCATTCTGCAAGATTACCATCAAATTTTCATCTGAAAAGTCAAACTTTATAGGTTCATAATCTTCTGTAGTTCGATCAGTAAGAAAATCAGCAATTGCACTCCCTTTTATAGATTTTTATGTCACGTACACAATATCATATTCTGAGAGCATGATCTGCCATCTCGCTAGCTTGCCTGATAAAGATGGTTTTTTAAAAATGTACTTCAGAGGATCCAAATTTTGATATTAGCCACATTATATGGTAGAGCATGTATTGTCTAAGTCTACGAGTAGTCCAACCAGGGCACAACATATTTTTTCTATTTGGGGGTACTTGGTCTCGTACTCTGTAAACTTTTTACTCAAATAGTATATAGCATGCTCTTTCTTGCCAGTTTTATCTCTTTGCCTCAATACACATCCCATCGATTTTTTTTGAACTGTCAGATATAAAATCAACGACCTTCCTGCAACTGATGGAACCAACACCGGTGGGCTTATCAAATACTCTTTAATATTTTAAATGCATTTTGGCATTCTTCATCCCATTCACCAGGATTATTTTTACGAAACAAACTGAAGATTAGATCATATTTCGAGGTAAATTGGGATATGAAGTGAGAAATATAATTCAATCACCCCAAAAAGCCTCTCACCTCCTTTTGCGTGCGTGGTGCTGATAATTCTTGAATGGCTCGAATCTTATCAGAGTCTACTTTTATACCTCTTTCACTGACTATAAACCCTAACAATTTTCCAGATTTAACACCACATGTGCATTTGGTTGGATTCAGCTTAAGCTGGTATCTTCGTAATCTTTCAAAGAGCTTTCTGAGATTAACAACATGATCTTCCTCTTCTTGAGACTTAGCTATCATGTCATCAACATATACATCTATCTCTTTATGCATCATATCATGAAAAAGAGTGACCATCGCTCTTTGATATATGGCACCAGTATTTTTTAGCCCAAAAGGCATGACTTTATAGCAAAACGTCCCCCATATTGTCATAAATGTAGTTTTTTCCATATTTTCATAAGCCATTTTAATCTGATTGTAGCCAGAGAAACCATCCATGAATGAAAAAGTGGAATGCTTAGCAGTGTGATCCACAATGGTATCAATATGTGGTAATGGAAAATTATCCTTTGGGCTAGCTTTATTTAAATCTCGATAGTCCACACACATTCTAACTTTTCCAGCTTTCTTGGGAACTGAGACTATATTGGCTACCCATTCAGGGTACTTGGCTACTTCTAATAAATCAGCATCAAATTGTTTTTTACTTCTTCTTTTATCTTCAGTAACATTTCTGGCTTCATGCGTCTCAACTTCTGTTGTACTGGTCGACATTCTGATTTTAAAGGCAGCCTATGCTCAACTATCTCTGTGCTAAGTCCGGACATATCTTAGTAAGACTATGCAAATACATCCATGTACTCTTGCAGCAGATTCACCAACTTCTGCTTCTCAATTGGTGATAGTGAAGTACCGATCCTGACTTCTTTCTTATTGTCACCATCTCTCAAATTTAATAGGTCAGTTGATTCCTGGTGGGGTTTTATAATTTTATTCTCTTGTTCCATCCATTTCAATAAATCATGAGGCAAATCATAGTCTTCTGAATCAACATCGTTATCAAGCTCGCTAATGTGAGTCAAATTTTCAAAATCAAACCCGGTGTTATTGCCTTGGTCATCCATAATGTTCGTTATTAGAAAACTTGAGAATGGGTATAATCACAAAGAAATATATATTGATCTTGGCAAGGGCAGAGAGAATGGTAAAAAGAAAAATGAAAAGTAGAGAACATGGTTTAAGTGAAATGCATTGCATTCATCATTTTATTAAGACAATGAAAATAAGCCCATACACTTAACCTCCGCATGCTCTTGGGCAGAAGCAATTGAAATTTTCAAGTTAATAGGTTCAAGGACAACAAAAATGGTACACCATTATTCGAGTCTTCTAAAAAGGAAAAAAGATCTCTTCATCTTGATCTGCTCCTTCATCCACTTTCACTTGAAGTCGTGAGAAAGCTTTCTCTAATCCCATTACCAGTCCTCTTTGTTCAATTCCTATCGACTCAGGATAGATATGCCCGGCTGAACGAAAGGTTTCATACAAATAAGGGAACATCATTTTCCCATTGATCAAATTTTATCTTTTGAGGCATGCCATTCTCTTTTCTTTCTTTTCTAGCATTACATTCTTCTTATCAGCAGCTGAAGGCTTATAGCCTAACCCCCATCTTTCTTTGTTTTCAACTAGGCATGGTGCTCTTATGATTTCTTGTAGAGCTTTTCCTAAGCTTTGCCCAACTCGTCAACCCTTACCAGCAGTCTGTTTGATTACCATATTGGTAGCTTTTGACAATTGAAGGATCGACATCCTTGACCCTTCTCTTATGTAAGTAGCATTTACTACTTCAAAAGCTCTGAAAGAACATTCAATTGCTTCTTCTGCTGTCTCAACGTAAGGTGTTGCTAAGGTCTTTGTTACCAACAAGTCCTTCTCACCATCCACACAGACTTATTTTCCTTCTACGATGAATTTTACCTTCTGATGTAGTGATGAAGGTACAGCTTCGATCGTGTGAATCCAAGGTCTCTCAAGTAGACAACTATATGCTGGAATTATGTCCATTACTTTCATATAATGTTAAAGGTACAAAGACCAATATGTAATGAGATCTCTATATCGCCAATTACCTCTCTCTATGCCCTGTCAAATGCTCTTACAATCATATGGTTATTTCGCATATAAGAAAGATCCACTGGAAGCTTTGACAATGTTGTCATAGGTATAACATTAATAGATGATCCATTGTCAATCAGCACTTTAGCCATAGTGTGAGACTTACACTTGACAGTAACATGTAAGGCCTTAACACTATCACGTCCCTCCGGAGGTATTTCATCATCATTAAAGGTGATAAAATTAGGGGCTATAATATTCTCAACCATATGATAAACCTTCTCAATAAAAATGTTGTGCTCGACATAAGCTTGGTTGAGCACTTTCAACAAAGCATTCCTATACGGCTCAGAGTTCAGTCGTAGCAACAGTAAAGAAATACGAGCTGAAAGCTTATTCAACTGGTCAACCATACTGTACTTACTGTGTTTGATGATTTTTAAAAATTTACAAGCTTCCTTTTTTGATATCGATTTGTTAATTTGGACTTTGGAGCTTACCAATGGTTGAAAATCTTGGCTTTCCTTGCGTCTTCTTCTCCTATCTTGCCTTTCTTTTTCCTGACCCTTTCTGACATTTCAGGAGTGTAAATTCAACCACTTCGGGTCATTCTTCCTACTCCCGCTATATTGGCGGTATTCTCTATGCTTGGATTATTTGAGGTCATATTAGGCCCTCGTATTACTACATCATAATCATATCACCATGGGACTGCTTTGTTGGTCTGATAAGGGAATGGACTAGGGACATGAATGGTCATTGGTGTCCTAAGAGAGAAGATAGTTTTCTCAATTAGGGGCTCTGATTTTTCATCATAGTAAACAGTGAGGGGTTTAGGGATAAAAGACTTGCTAGGACGCTCGTCACCCATTGTATTCACATTATTTTCATCATATTCATCATTGAATTTAATGATGGCCTTATCCATCAAGCTCTGCAATGTTTGCTTAAAGACCTCACAATTTTGGATCAAATGTCCAATTGTTCTCTCATGATATTTATAAAAATGGTCTGGGTCTTCATGATTGCCATTGTCATCCGAAAATAGTGGTTGAATCATACCCGTCTCATACAAACAGTCATACACCCTTTTCAAAGGGGTCCTCACTTTATCTATGCATCTTTTGATCTTTCTTCATTTTTTCTTACCCACCATATTGATTTTCCTTTCGGTGTGATCTGGTAAAGGGTTTCCACTGACATTCGGCTTGAATTTAGTATCAAAAGATAAAAACCCATCATTTATCAAACCTTGCACCTTGTGTTTAAATGTCGTGTAATTTTCAGTAGAGTGTCTTGTAACTCCATAATGATAATCGCACTTGACGTTAGGGTCATACCAACTTGGGTAAAGTGGTCTCAACGGTTTTGCATAAGTAGGAGCTACAAGGTGGCCTTTTATTAACTGAAGGTACAAATCGGTGTAAGACATGGGAATTAGGTCAAAATGAGGTCTTTCTCGATTATTATTATTTCATGAGTTTCTTTGATTGCTGTTTGGATAGGTCGATCGGGTAAACGGTTGAGCTGGAGGTACAGAGGTGTAATTAGATGATTGAGAGCCAAAACTTGATCTGGGTAACGGTTGTTGGGGTGCTCGATAATGGTATGGTTATTGAGAAACTTGGTTTGTGGCAGGGTAGTAAGGGGGATATGGATTATACAGGACAAAAAGATGGTGTGAGAGATTTCTATGAGTGACAGCATGTGTCTCCTGCTCTTTCTTCTTTAAAGTTGCTATCTTTTTTTTAGACCCTTTAATTTTACCACTTTTGATAGCGTTCTCTATCATCTTCCTGAAATTACCATGTCAGAAAAGTTTTTCGTGGCATTCCCCACCAATCTATCATAATATGAGGCCTTCAGCGTATTGACAAATAGCACGGTTATCTCTTTTTCTGTCAGTAACGGTTGAACTTGGGTCGCTGCATCCCTCCATCGATGTGCGTATTCTTTGAAGGTTTCCATCGATTTTTTCTCTATATTTTGCAATGACAGCCTATCAGGGGCTGTATCCAAGACATGCTTATATTGGGTAAGAAAAACTTTGGCCAAGTCTTTCCATGAATTGATCTTGCTTCGATCTAACTGTACATACCATTTAGCTATTGAACCAATTAAACTATCTTGGAAACAGTGTATCAATAGTTTATCGTTATGGGTATGACTTGTCATCTTTCTACAAAACATGGTAATATGAGCAGAAAAACACTTTGTCCCATCATATTTCTTAAAATTTGAGGTCTTAAATTTGGGTGAGA